AGAAGCTTTTTGTTCAAAGTTTCCTCATTCTGGAATAGGAAATGAATCTTTCACATCCTATTGAATAGACCTGATGCATCAGTCATTTATTGGCTTCTGTTAGGCAAACCCGGAGGAGGAAGTTTTGACAACATTACACAGTGAGGTAAGATCCCCACGGAGTAGGCTCATTCTGTCCCTCACGGGATAAAAGCATTCACAAAAATGAAATCTGTGTAGGAACAGTCCCTGGAAAACACTTACTCCACGTGCCTTGCAGACTCAGAAACTTCACGGTTCACATTCAGTGTTTGTATAAATGTTCCTCTAAAAAACAAGCTCTAGGAAACTAAGAAGAAGGAAAAGGACCTTAATGGTTCTTAAATCTTGTTCTACCTTTTCATGTCTTATTTTTCAAATGAGGAATCAGAGAGGAATGATTGTGTCTCCCCTCGCTGTGTGTGAGCTTCCCCTGTGCCTCTGTGTGACCAGTGGTTGGATTAGATCCGTTTTGGTCCCTTGCGGTCTTGGCTGAAAGTCATAGACTTTGGGGTGGAGCTAAATTTATGCCTTTCTCAGGGACGCCCTCCTGGTCGGTTCAGGCTCTCCTTGGGGGCTCCCCCACAGCACCCAGAGGTTCTGCTGCCTTGTCATGGCAGGTGGACCCAGCGTCTGTCTGTCCAGATGCACCCACCATAAGCTCCATGTCTGTGGTGTGTATTCCTGGACTTCAAGCTCCTGTCTTAGATAGACCAGAGCTTAGTAAATAATTTGTTCACCATTATTCCCTAAAACCTAAGTCTCTTAACATGTAAGCATGTGCTTTCTGCCCTACACCACGTGCCTTCAGTAAAATACTTAATCCCTACTTATGACTGTGATAGAGCCATCAAAAAGAGGTTAGACTCTCTAACCTCTCCTTAATACGTAAGTACATAAAGATAACATTTGGTGTGCAGTGTCTGATGAAGATGGTTAAATTGTCAATCAAAAAGTGAATGATTACCCTATTAAACACTTTGAGAATCCAGCAAACTCAGTTAACTCCGAATGCCATGTGCCTGGGGATGCCCCACGGAGGCCAAGGTCTAGTGCTTGGATGTGCACTTGAAACTTTCACAACCCTTTTATATGTACACACATGGTGTCACTGTAAGATTGTTGGCCCCAACCACATGCCTCTCAGGGGCCACGGTATGCAACCTGTGTCAGAATCGCTGCTCAGCCGCTCCATTGTTTGTGATGCAGGACACACCACTTCACCAATCTAAGCCTTAGTGACTCATCTAAAAAATGGGGTTAATTATAAACTGCCTCATTCTCCCTCAGGGTTCCTGTACAGCATTTAGGGGAAGCACACACTGATACTGTAACATTGGTTGTGGTGCTGTGGCTGGTAAAGCTGTGAGGACCACGCCCCACCCACACTCTTCACCATCCCTGTGCCCCGACTTAGAAAGGCAGAAACTCCCTCTTCTGGAATAGCAATTTACAGGTCGAGCATTTTGCTGAAATGGAGGGCTTCAAGCTAACCAGAAAGCCAGAGCGTTCCACCAGGGGTCAAGCTTAAAAATCAAAAGTTGGTAAGGAGCGGGTTGGTTGGAGGGATGTTCATTTTTAAAGTATAATTATCACAGTGAATAGTTACAAAATACAATGCATTTCCTGCTAAATTATTTTTCACTAAACATTTAAGCATTCTGAAAATGAAACTTTCACAGTCTGAAGCCTGTCACAAATACAATTCCCCTTTTTTTTTTACAGCTAGAATGTTGTCTGAAATTCTCACTGATGCTACTATTATTTTCTAGAGTCTGTGGGCAGCGTGAGAACGTGTATCAGGAAGAGAATGAGGAAGAGAACAGAAGCTGTGGCAAGCTTCGCAGCGACCCTGGTCACTGCATCCACCATTTCATAAACGTCCCCCTTATCTTAGTTCCTCTGTGAATGCAGCTTTAATGAAACCGCAACCCAGGTCACAATGGCTGTGTTTTCTATTTTAAGGAGCACAAAGTCCTTTGGTCACGGGTGAGTGTGGGAGTGTCATGGAGCAAAGTCCCCATCCTCAGCAGCTAGACTTTGCACCCAAGCCCAGCTGAGGATTTATTTGAAACAAACTGGGTGCCTTTGCCAGAGCAAGCTGTTTCTTCTTGTTCTGAGTGAATGGGCTCCATGGTGAGACCCTCAGACACAGTGTGATGTGCCACCCTTCCTGCCCCACCGAGCTCTGGGACCTTTCGTCCTTTGTCCCCGTACTCCACGCCAGCCTGATGCAAACAAATGCTTGTGGAACAAATGCATCAACTATATACAAAAGGACAAGGACCCGTTTGGGGTTCTGCTTTGCCAGTTGCCAGCCCTGGAAGTTTGGGCAGGTTTATTAACCTCCCTGGGTTTAAGTTGTTTCTTACTCTCTTGCTTACAAAACAATGAGCGTGGCCTGCAGTAGCTAAGGGGCAACATGCTCTCATCCTCACGTCACAGTTTCTAGATGCTCTCTGTGCCCACAGCTGTGTGAAGAGGAGGAAGGCAGCACCCTCACACACCTCGCTGTGGGCATGCCCACTGCCTGGGGGTGAGGCCTGATGTTGTTAGCCCATTTCACAGATGGCTGGCTGAGGCTGGCTGAGATGAAGATTCAATAGCTTCTGTACCCTAGGCTGCCTGACTCTGGAACTTCCCTGTTTGATCTCACACCGACTGTAATGTCTATTATTTATGATACTTTAGTCATGAGAAAACAGAAGCTCAGAGGGGCTGTGACATTGCCAGCTTCTCACGCCTGGCTAGGAGATTCCAGGGCAGTCCACAAATGGAGCCTCCAAATGAGACCCATGTTTGAGGGGTGGGGACAGGGAGCAAGGACTGGAGAAGAGCCCATACCCGCTGATGCTATGGACGCATTGGCCTCCCACCCCCTGGCTGAAGGACTCCTGTGCTCGAGGCCCTGGGGGTCTAGGTGAATGGCCAGGAGATCCCGGTGGGGCTCAGGGATCCAGGAGCCCTGGCTGTCCTGCCAGCTAGAATTTCAGAATCAGAAAGCCTCCTGACTCTGAGCCATCCTGTCCCAAATTTATAAATTTTATAAGTATATGTGCAGCATCGACATATATTTTCCTCAATAGTAGATTTTCAGCAAGTCTGGTTGGGAAGATCTTATGACAATAGATAAATATCAACAAAAAAATTAATATTTGCACAGGTTTAAAAGATTACTTTTGGGGAAAAAATCATAATTTCAAATTATATTATAATTTGTAGTTTAGACAATTTAAAAAGGGAAGAAAGATATCTCTCTTTTAAGCCTCATTTGGAAACAACAGCTACCAGTCCTGAGGTGTGAATAAGTTGTCTGAGCGATAACACTTGGTCAGAATATGAAAAAGAAGTATTTGCACCTTTCCAGAAAAGTACCAAATACTTAAAAAAAAAAAAACAAAATGAAAACAATCCCTAGTAGCATTCCATGGCATGCAAAGTTAGCAGGAAATGATTATCCTTAATGTTGACAGTTTTCATGAAGATTCTTGGAAGCATCAAAAAGCAGAGAGTAGCCATCAGGGATTGCTCAGCTTAGCTTCTGCAGGGTACCTTGTTCTTAATTTAACTCTGACTTCCAGATTTCATTCCCTTTATAACATCTGTGGCAGGGTTGTGTTCAACCCGTACCTGCGTCCTTGTCCAGGCTGTGTCAAAGACATCGGATTAGGCCATTAAGGACCTGGCTTCAAGTCTGCACTTGATGGCTGGTTTCAGTATAAGAGAAAGATGGGTGCCAGGTGAGTGATGGGCAGGTGGGGGAGAGCTTGCTCCACAACTTTGCTTGGCACCTGCCTGCCCTTTACCGAACCTGTAGACTCACAGGGTTTGCCAGAGGCCGTGTAGCCCCAGGAGGAAGGAGGCTCCTGACATTTTACCTCTTTGGCCATATGTCCGTATAGGGGTACCAATGCTGCTTTGCCATATGGGGCCAGCTGCAAGATGGCGATTTTGACCTTGAGAGGTATCCTATCCAAGGAGACAACTTTCCCTGCCCTGCCTAATCCACACAGTTTGTTGAGATATGCAAATAAAATGATAATGATGATAGTAAAGCCTACTTGGAGGTTACCCATCATCCACAGTGCTTTGGGAGCATGGACTCAGTGGGGGGAGGCCAGTCACTTTGACATTAGTGTAAAGTATTAATTTCCCTAAAATTATCATCATTGACTTTATGTTCTTAAAACATTGAAGAGCACAATATTTTATATGACTTATGTATTTTGCAAATATGGATGAACTTTGCCACCCAACTCACCATAATAAGATCATGCAGGTTAGTTAGGGTGTCATGTGATAACTCGAGACATTCTGGTTCCATAGACCAGCTCGGACCCCTTCAAAATAGTGTTTCATGGGGTTCCGGTACAACAAATGTAATGCACATGTACCACGTGGTTTTAGAGCAGCAAATTACTATTCAACAGCACTTTTTCCTTGAAGCAATAGCCACCCTCATTGCAATACAGAGGTTTGCTAAAAGGCCCACCTTGTAGGCTGGGGTAGGGAGGCCTGAGCTGGGCCCTGCAGCACTGCCTATCTTTGTGAGTAGCCTGCAAGTTTTCCTTAACACAATTTCTGCTGAATACACACGGTTTCATTACCTTCTGCTTTCAGACATAAGGGAGCCATACTCTTTACATCTGCAATTGCAAAATTTAGTTCCATTTACCTGATTCTCAGGTTTTCAGTGGCTCCTTCAAGGTCATCTGGGATATTAGGATTAAGATAGCTTGTTCCCCAAAGAAACCAAGCTCTGTTCAAACACTGAGATGAATAAATACAGTCCAAACATCCTCCGTGTCCTTGGCCCAGTACACTACCGGAGTGTCTGCGTATTCAGCAACCATTGGCGTGGATTTGTTACCTGCTTCTTCTGTTCCCTCCTCATTCCTTGTGCACATTATCAGAATCTGTTATAAAGTTCAGACCTTCAAAGAACATAAATGTTTTTAGCCTCAAATAATTTGGACGTCAACTGTTGAGCATCATGTTTTAATATGTTCAGTTTCTTAATAAGTTAATTTATTACAGTAGCCTTGACTCGGGAGGACTTTGGGGTGGGAGGATACAGAGACCATCTTTTGACTAGTGCCTGTTTCACACGGAATTTAGTAGCCGCTTTTTGAATGTCTGCCTTGACTGCTCGCTCACCAGGAAGCTCCCTGGAGGCAGATCTCTGAGTTGGCACAATGTTAATGACATCACAGATATTTAATACATTGTTTCTTGAATGAAAAATATTATTTCTGAGACAGGCTGTTAAAAAATAATAGGCAAGGAGGTCATAAATTCTTGATGGCTTCATAAAGGAGACATTTTTCTGTCCAAACAGGTACTGCTTGGTAAACTACATGAAGGGATTTCTGCTCCATTTGACTTCAGGTCCATCTGACATGAAAGAATACTTCAGAATCCTGCCAATGTTCCACCCAATTTGTGGAATATTCAAGACCAAAAGATCCTCAAAGTGATTTTCTAGAAGAGCCTATGGTAGAGTCGGTAGAATCCATTCTGGTGCTTTCCAAAATATTTCTGGTGCTCATTGTCTTTTCAGGAGACTGTGAGCAAGTTTTACCCACCTGCTTACAGAGGGCAACCCTGCACCTATGTCCTGCATCTGCCCTGCCTTGATTCAGGCAATGCCTACGAGCTGTGGTGCTCTAGCCCACGCCTTGCTAGCCTCCAGCTGGGCAGCACTCTTCAGATGGGTGATACACTCACATCTAACCAGTTACTCCCATGCCAACACTGCAGTAACCAGGCAGAGGCTTGGCTGAGGTGGTGGTTGCTAGAACTTGTTGCAATGTTGCATTTCCATTTTGACTAAACTCAGCACAATCCATTTAAACCAAAAATATATTTAACCTCCTTCACGTATAGGCTATGGGGTTATAATTCTTATCTCTCTTCAATCTTCACACTTCCTAATCCTTTCCATACAAAACCACACCTCAGAACCTCAAAACTGCATTGGAAGGTCACACACCAGCATTTCTGCCCACCACTGGGTTTGAGTTGCTTTAGCAACTAGGGGCCCAGAGGACCAGGTCATTCACCCTCAAGTTTCGCCTTTTGCCTTCGGCAGCTGGTCCTGAAAAGACGGGTTCCAAAGCCCTGCGCCTGACCATCTTCATTCACAGAGCGGAACAAAAATACCCAGGCTCCTGAGGAGAATGGGATCATAGGTGCTAAAATGCTTGGAGCTGCTTGGAGGAAAGGGGCATAACACAAACCTTTATTAATTTAGAGAGTGAGACCAGGTCAGGAGGGTCCATAGGCTCATAGTTTTTCTACCACTTTGGACACGGCATGGAATGGAGGCCTTTCCCTTCATCTTCCCCATCCGAGTGGGAAGAAACCTTTTTAAGGGTACATCGTTTATGAAGAACATAATGTCATGAGATACATTAACGATCACAAAGTGACAGCCAGCCAGGACTTGGCCATGCTGATTGTCCAGACCAGCCACCTAGTTAAAGCTCGGGAGCTGAGCAACAGAATAGACCGAAGGACAAAATGACCTGGTGGAGAAGTCAGAACAAAATTCCATCCTTTGGGGCATATTCCACTGGCTTCCTCTGCTCCTGCTTCCACTGGTATCTGGCCTTCTGGTAGAAAATGATGATGACCACGGTGGCGATGTTTAGGAGAATGATGAGCAGCAGGAGCCAGAATGAGTACCCATAGCTGTGCGCTGTCCCTTTGTGAGTGGCTGTGGAGTACAGTGGGTACAGCGTCTGGGCCAGCTCCTCCGAGAGATGATTCGACTGTATGTTCCCCACAAACAGCATCATGGCCACGAAAACGAAGGATGCTGCAAAGGAGATTGAGTTTTGTAAGTGATACGTGAGATACTATTTTCTCTACAGAGCATGTACTCCTTGGGCATTTACTGAACATTTATACTAGGGTTCGCACTCTTTAAGGCACTGGGGAGAATGTAAAAGAAACATAAGACACAAGCCAGATATAGGCATAAAAGCTAATGGTGGTGTGAGCAGTGTGTGATTAGGGGCAGACCTTCTGGCCCAAATCCTCTCAGAGGGGGCTGTGGGACAGCTGGCGTGTCACATAGCCTGCTTCCTAGGGCCCCGTCCACAGGAGGTGGGGTCCACTGGGGAGTGCTGAATGAATGAGTGAACAGGAGGGGGCCTGTCTAGGGAGGATGGAATGTCTGAAGACTTGGAAAAGCTGAGGAAGAACTAGAGACTTTCAGACAGAAGGGGAAGCCTGGACGAAGATGGGCTGGGCAGGGAGTCCAGAGCACCAGGGTGGGGAGAGACAAGCAGCCGCCAGGGGGGCAGTGCTGAGGGTTGCAGCCCAGGGTACAGAGGAGGCCACACCCTGCAGAGCCTCCCATGCCGGCTCGGGAGCTGCAACTCCACTCCATACACGCTGGAGTGCCGTACTCAACAAGGAAGGACCTCCTTACTCAACTCTTTCTGGAACAGAATATTACATGTTTTTATTTTCCCTTTTTTATTCTTCATGATGTCCTCCACCAGAGAACATTCCTCAGACTGACTGTGGAAGCTTTAAGATCAGAGTTCTGGAATCAAGGAGAGCAGGGTTCAAGGCTCCAGGCCACGTGGCCTGGGGGATTTGTGTAGGTTCTCTGAACCTCTTTCCTCATCTTCCCAAGGGGATCAGCTGGACACAAAGAGATTAGTGGTTGTTTAGGGCCGGGAAGAGGTATAGCCAAAGGGTATGCGTTTTCTTTTTGACATTAGGAAAATGAGCTAAAATAGACTATTCATGGTGGACATATCTGTGAACATACTGAAAACTATTGATTTGTGCCTTTGAGTGGGTAAATTGTATGGGATGTGATTCAGATCTTGATAAAGCTGTTTGAAAGCGCAAGGAGGGAGAGAAGGATGTCCCAGACCCCCGAGGCCCAGGGCGGCTGTCTAGCAAACTTGGGGCCTGACTGTGGGCGAGGTGGTCATCAGGAATCCCCAGGCTGGGAGTCCTTCAGGACCCATGCCAAGGACTCTTAATCTGCTTTCATTTACCCAGAACTAGATGGACACTTTGGCCTCAAACGCATCCTGGCGTCAAACCCAGGGAACTTTTCCAATGGCCCTTGGAAAGGCCCTAATTAGAGGGAATGTTTTACTCGTCCTTGGTGAAGCCTTCATCCTTAGTGTATGATGCTATTTCCCACTAATTGTTCAAATGGGAGCCCCTTTCTCTGATGCTCTATGCACCCCACACCCCTTAATTATTCTTCATTATGCTCTTGTGAAATTTCTTACAAAGGTTTAGTCATAAAGGGGCGGGATGAGTACAGGGTTAAACGCTTTTCTCTAAAGTGGAACACGCCTGGCTTTGATGCGCACCTGGGCCCCTCCGGCAGGGAGATGCCTCCCATTGCCTGCTCCCCTGGCTTTCTGGGGCAGAAGGATTTCCCAGAGGCCAGGAGAAGCCCTGTGGGAGGATTAGGAACTACTGCAAGCTCAGAACCTGACTCGTGGTCCCATCTGTTCCCTTCCACTGTGCGACCCGCCCCATCACCCTTTGCTCTCTGGGTTCCTCGGCTGAGGAGCAAATGTACTGGAGCAGACAGTCTGCACAGCTCCCTCAGGCCCCAGCCTCCTCTCAGCCTACAGTGCTACCTGCTGCGGTTGAGGTCAGGCCATGCCAGGCTGGGGTCAGAGGGCACAGGGCAGGCCAGGGTCAGAGGGCACAGGAACCCGGGAGGTGCTGCCACTTTCCTCAAAGCAGAATCCGCCCCTGTTGCTTCAGAAACAGTCCAGGAAACCCACTTCCTCTTCTTCCCTGTGCCCGCATAGAGCTTGCTCAGACCCAGCCTGGGCGGGGCTTTGCGGCACCTCCCCCTGGTTCCGGGACCCCTGAAGTCAGCCTGACCCCTGCTCTCCTGCCAAGGCGACCCAAAACAAACATATGTCAATGGCATCTTTGTGTACAAAACCCTTCTGCGGGCCAAGCCTCATGTGAACTGAAATTTTACGAAGTTCTCCAGTCCTCAAAGCTTATGTGAAGAAAATCAGGAGGCCCTGGAGACAAATTTAGGACAAGGCCCCGCTTATCCACGCGCTGGGATCTAGAGGGTGTGAGGGGCGTTTAGAGGAGGCCAGAGACAAAGCCGGCTGCTGAGCAGAGATCTTCCTCCGGCCCCTGTCAGAACGCGAATGTCTTCCTTACACAACAATGTCTCAGATTGTTTTTCTGCCCACCTCAGCCTCTTCTGTGTGTTAGAACTTGCTCCAAGCCTGGGAAGGAATGTGCATGAGCTCTCTCCCTGTCAAACAATTCTTTGTTGTTAGAAGTAGGTGGAGATGGGGGAAGACTGCCGGCCCCTTTCCTTCGTGTTTTCCTTCACAGGCCTCTGTTGCGTGCCAAGTCAGCTTATGCTCAACTGTGGAGGGGAGGCTGGAAGCTGCAGCGTGTGGGACAGGGTTTCCCTCCTGCTGAGATGCAGGCATGGGCTTTGAACCCTGAAGCCTGCAGACACAGTAACGCGGGCCGCCTGGCTTCAGGCCGCCCACATTGATCCTTCATTCTGGTACCAGTGTCTGACCCTTCTCCCGGGACCTCCCCCAGCTCCAGCTCCCAGGAGGTCATCAGTGTCCTCAGCCAACTGCTGGGTCAGTCAGGGAATTCAACCCCGCAGGCCAAGGAGGTGGTTAGACTCTTCCAAGGGTAGAGAAGGGCAATTCCAGTGAGACTGAGATTTGGGGAAAGAAGTCTTTTCTCCCGGGATCTCTGGCAGGCCTCTCGCCTTTGAGAGGAGCAGCCTGGCTGCTCTGCAGCAGAGGGATCATTGGGGAAGTCAGTATAGAGCACTGGAGGGAAACTGAGTTCTGATGGGCTGGGCTGGGACCCTGAATCCAGTTGTGCCTGAAGCCACTTCTTCCCTTAGCTTCTTAATTCTATGAGCAAAAACTAAAACAATCTATTTTTTTAACTCTGGCAGTGAGTGCTAATGAGTCTCACCTTTAGTTTTATTGCTCATGGAGACAGCTTGGGGCAAAGACCCCTGGTGTGTGGCTGAGAATATCTGAATCTGTAACTAAGTCTCTTAGCCTCTGACAGTCGGCTCCCCTGGGAGACAGAATGTGCAAGATTCCCTCGCAGGACTTCATGCCTGGCCCATTAAATTGGGGAGGGGTGGGGGTTTGCTCGTTTTTACCACCAGGTAGTAAGAGCACAAAAAGAAAGGACAGGGCAAGTCATGTGTGAACACGGCTGAACCAGCCTGCCCCTGAATCCTCAGAGCTGAGCAGGGTGCATCCGGTGCAGCCTTCCATCAGGTTTTCCAGGACAGTCTGGTTTCCACCTGCTGTCTGCCTATGAACTGCAATCTCAGAAGTGCCCGGGTTGCTCAGTGAGTGGCACGGCCCTCCCTCGCATCCAGGCCATGCTGGCGCCAGCTCACATGTTTTCCCAGCCGTGGGCCTGGAAACAGCCACAGTGGGCGTGTGCATATCACTTGCATCTGCTGGTGCTACCATCAGGGCTCCCCTGCCCCGAGAGCCTGTTGCACACCCTCCAGCACAGCCCTGCTGGCAGCATAGGGATCTGGGGGCCTCTTACAGCCACTGTTCTGGGCTGCTGTAAGGTTGGCCTCTCAGGGAAGGGCAGGAGGATGCTGCACAGAGCCCGACCTCTGAGGCTCCCGGTACCTTGACACCCAGAACATCTTTCCTGGGCTTGAACGCTGGCCTGTGCTAAAACCTGCGACTTACAGGAAGCCACCTCCAGAGTCTCCCAGTAGGAGGATGGGCTGCTTCAGATTCTTTCTCTTGAGATCAGGTTTCCATGGTGGAGAGAGAGGGAGAGAGCAGGAGAAGCTTGGCTGCCTGGCAGGGGCAAAGGGGCACCCACTTGACTAAGTCTCTGGGCGGAAGTGCTCCATGAAAACCTAGCACAGTCCAAAATACCATGACATAGCTGGGATCCTCTGGCCACCGGGGCTGCCTCCCTCACCCCACTACTTCACCCAGCAACCAAATAAAAGCCTAGCAAACCCCACATCAACATCCTGGGCTCACAGGTCACCTCCAGGAAGGGCGTTGGTCTGCACATTCTCTCCATGACGGTGTTTGTGGTTCTCTGGGTCACAGTCATGCAGACATGTCAAGTTTGGATTTTAGCCCAAGTTGACTTTGAGGTAAGAAGAGTAAAGAAGTGTGTGTGCATGTGTGTGTACTTCTGTGCATCACACGGAGCCTAATTTGGAGTGAAGCAAAGCAGGAGCCCAGTGACTGTTTTACTGACTTTGTGTGTCTTAACTCCTTACATCGGACACTCAGCGGCAAAGACTGGTGATGTTATGTATTTTAACACCTAACACTCTCTCCTCACCTCACTCTGTTTCTCATCAGTGCATTTAAAACAGAAAATATTTTTTCCAAAGACATTTAATAAATGGGGTAGATTTACAAAATGAGCCCCTGTCCCTAGCACACACTCAGCACATAGTAGCTCCTCCTCATTTCTGTGGCTCCCCCGGATGGCGTGTGTTCAGGTGCGTGAGAGAGAAGCAGACACAGTGAGGACATGCCTGTCCCCCAAGTGCCCGGTGTCCGGGTTACTCACCGCTGAGCCCGCTCCAGGTGTACACGCCCACCGGCCCCAGGAACGTCTGGTAGGGGTTGCTGACGCTATTGTAGAAGGTAAACCCAGCGCTCAGCAACGTTGTAGACAAACTGAGGACCAGGAACAGGATAACCACCACGTGCAGAACTTTTTGGGAAGAATCGTTCAATTTCCTTAAAACTAAAACAAAGTTTGCTGAGTACATAGTGCAAAATGCAAACGCCAACTCTAGACCGGAGGGCATCCCTTCACATTGCACCCGCCAAGGGACTTGGGTTGGAAATTGTCAAGGGGCATCTTGGGCCTGGAAGAATGGCGAGGGGCCTCAGCGTCCACATTTCCCACTCCAGGCAGGTCCTGAACCTGAGGGTGAATGAGTGTGACCACTGTCTTCGAGATAACTGGACATTCCCGCCAGTGTGAAAGAGCCCTAGGAACCCGTGTGCCTTCTTAACCGACTGCCGCAGGGCGGGACAACCCTCCCTTGGTACATTCTGGCCTCAGATGCTTGCCAGTGGGCACTATTGTAATGTCATCATCTGCAGTGGTGCCTGTGCTCTGAGCACTAACTCTGCTTCCACTTGGAGACACTGACAGGGTAGGCCGCCCTGAACGCCCCTGTCGTGAGGATCTGGCGGACTCTGAGGTTTCTGAGGAGCGTCAGAGAACAAGGGGCGGCCAGTACAGAGAAGTCCAGGAGGGGTGGGGCTGGTGGAGGTGACCAGAGCGGGGGAGCACGGGAAGGTGGGGTATATGACTTCTGTGTGTGCAGTGGAGGTGTCTGTCCCACGTCCCATCTCACTTCCCTGGGGTCAGAGAGGACCCAGCGCCCGTGTGACCTGAAAGTGGAGGCAGCCTCTGGGTGAACGGTCAGGTTTCTTTCTGAGCTAAATCCCTCTGAGTGCTAATGGAGTTTTATAAAATCTGCATGTTTCTCAAGTGCAAAGTTGCTCCAGTCATGGATGTGCTGGTGCAAAATGAAGCTCAGCGGCCCTTGGCCATTTGCCACGGGTTCTGGCTTTCGCCACCTCCTGTTTCCGACCACCAGCCAGCCTCCTTCTGCATCTGTTTCCTCTGCTCATTCCATTGTTTAGAACACAAAATGACCAACGCCAGAGGCATACTGTCCCCACACTTTCTCGACCCCCAGCCATGGATTCAGAGAACATCTCTAAGGGTTCTCCATCGTGCTGAGGCCCTTGGGAGACTGCCACACATTGCAGAAAGTGTTTACCGAGGTGTTCTGTGAAAGTCTCAGTGATATAAGGGAAAAGTAAGTCGGCAAAGAGATTTCAGAGTTGCATGGGCTGGAGGGGGCCCAGGGTGCTGTACGCAGCGGAAGGAGCTGCCTGCATCTGCCAGAGCCAACCTGCCCGCAGGAGCCCCTAGGCAGCCGGGCCCTTCCTATCTCTGTGCCGCCTTCACTATTGGAAAGTTCTTCTTGGAGTTGTGCCCAAATCTGCACCTTCACAACTTTTTGTCCAGAACCTAGAGTGCCCTTTGGAGCAACAGTTAATCCACTTGCTCCTCTCCCACCTGGCAGCCTTTCCAAACGTTTGAAGAGGGATATAAACCCCAGTGTGACTAACAGCCCCCGTCCCCTGCCAGCCTGATCCAGCTCTGCACGCACTTCAGTCCTACTCCGCGTCTCAAGCATGCCGGCCAGAGCAACACAGCTCTCCAACAAGATCCTACTGTCTGTAGGGGCTCTAGTCTCTCTGCACTTCTGAACTTCTAAGTTCTATTAGCTCAAAATTTTTAAAATTCAGAGTACTCTATTAGGGAGACAGATTTCCTGTCACTGGACAGACATCCCTAGAAGTTAGGATCTTATCGTGAAGACCCTGATGCAGAGAGAGATGCCACCCTGATGGCCATGAGCTAGAAGGGCCCCTGGATAGAGCAGGAAGTGTGGGGAGAGGGCTCGGGGACAGCGGCCAGAGGCGGCAGGATGGGGGGTAAGGCCGCAAGCATGGGGCTGAGAGAGGAGGGGAGGGGGCGCAGAGGGAGCCTGCAGACAAGGCAAGACACACACGAGGCTGTTGCATCATGTCAGCCCCTCCCCAAGTCCCGGGAAACCTGCTGGGGGGCCATAGACGGCAGAAGGGGGAAATCAGCAGCTCAGTTACCTGGAGGCAATGACCCCACCCACCTGGCCAGAGAACATTTTGCTCCTGTCCGTGAGACACAGGCCTGGGAGCAAAGTCTGACTCACACAAGGGCAGTCTCCTGGGATCCAGGGATGACTGTGTCCCAAGCTCCAGTTAATGACCCACTGACATGGCTCGTTCCTCCCCTGCACAGCCCTCTGCATGCATCTCAGGTAAGAACTCTGACACATTGGTTAATCTAAAAACCAAGCCCTACCTGCTCCCCCCTATTGCCCGGGTAGGGATGGGTGGGGTCTGCCCGGGCCGCCCCACCCTCAGGCCGAGCCTCTTGCCTCTGTGGCTGGTGCCCTAGAGAAGTCAGGCCTGGGACACTTACTGCCATAATTTAGCTCACACCTGTTTTGAAACTACTGGAAAATGCCACCGGAGAAAAGAGTAGGGAAAACAAGAAGTAGGGTACATCTGTTCAGAGGTGCCGGGCTGAGAGCTACAGATGTTACAAGTCTGGGAACCGCTGGGAAGAACTGCATCCCGTCCCACACCTGCACGGCTTCTCCTTGGCCACTCAGGAGGGAACTCCTGGCACTGATTGAAATTTTGCTGGGGACTAAATGAACTGTGTTTAGCCAATAAGAAATAATTTGGGTGCTTGACTGGAAAATAAAAACTTCAGGGTGGAAAAAATGTCATGTGTTTAAGACACCCAAAGTGTCCTGGAGAATTTTTCTTTTGCACTTATTAAAAGCTGTAAATGGATGTTCATTTGCAAGTGGGGAGATGTCCACTTTTTCAGAGTCAATTAGAAAGTGACAATCAGGTTTAGCTTTAGATTTTGACTGCTGGTAAGATCTAACAGACACGATTTTTCAGAAGAGAGTTGATCTGGAGCCTACTGACTCATACTTTTCTTTGTATGAATGTGACAATTTATCTTTATTTTAACTACCGTATTTAAAAATTATATTTCAGCATTCTGAATTCCCTGCCACACAGGTATGACAGCTGTATCTCCCCTCCCTGTCCTGGCTCAGAACTCAGACAATGGAAGCTGGAAAATTCAGTGAAAGTTAGCAAGAATGAAATAACAATAAACCCCCACAGCATCTGACAGCTGCTCTCTGCCTACAAAATTAGCAAATACATTCTGTTCTCTCTTCCTTTTAGGGGCCAAGTACTGAATCAGGAAAACCACTTCACAATTGGAACTAATTGCTTGGATTCTGGCAACCCCAGGAAAGAGGCCACAATCCCGCAGCTGGGAGGCATGAATGTGCTGGGGTGGTGGGTCATCAGACATACGGGGTCATGTGGACATCCGGGCTCCTGCACACAGAGACGTCACCATTTAGGACCCACATGCCTTCTCTGGCCTTCAGGCTTTGGTTTTCCTAAGTCCTTGGAAAGTGAGGGACAGCCGGGGGCTTTGGGTGGGTGGGAACTGCCTCCACCCTCTCCTCGAACACCTGGTCACCTGGAAGCCTGCCTTGGTGGCGTGTCCCAAACCATGGACCACCGTGGACCCCGTAGGGGTTCCTTAAATCATCAGATCTCAGAGCATGGCCTGGGAACTGTCACAGGAAGTCTTGGCTGGTGTCCTCAGCCTCTGGGAAGTTTATCGGGGTTCTCTGCAGGAGAAGCGTAAGGGGACAGCTTTTCCACCCCCTTTTACTCCACCTCCCTGTGAGGTCACATCTCTGGGGCAAACAATCAAGTTGCTCCTCCCCAGGAAAAGTATCAGTAGGATATGGGGTGGGAGTAGGTGGGGAGCAATAGTGTGAAAAGGAAGGGTTTTGTGTAAATTTTGAAGAAATAAACCCAATTTATTCTTCACCTTGCAATTAATTGATTTTTGCAGCACATTTCCCTTTCGAATTATTTTTAGCTTGGGCTAATAGTACAATTTGAGTTCTCTGAGAACAAATGGAGGTGGGAGGATAAAAGCCTGGTGAGCAGTGGGGGGCAGGTAGCCAGACGGGATGAGCACCCCCCCTTGCGCTCACGGAGACCTGAGCAGGGCAGGGTGCTGGACATAGTGGTGGGGAGCCCTTGTCTGTAAAGGTTGGATGGCGAGGCCGCCGAGGCCAGGAGCTCTGCGTGATTACTCACAATGTCCAAGCCCCTCCCTCACGGAGCAGCTGTTTGGGGAAGATTTTTGGATTGAAATGAAATATCCAGAACTTGTGGAGTTGCACAGGCAACGTGCTCACTGGTGAACACAGAGAACCCGCTCCTCTTCAGCTAGATGTTAGACATCCTGGGATGCCTCTAAGTGAGGCTGAGAGACCACCTGGTAAGTATGAGCTGCCTGAGTAATCTACGAACACACTGGAGAGTTCCTTACTGGCTGTGACTGCTTATTTTCCAAACCAGCTGACCGATTGTTGGCTGAATTATCTTGGCACACTGAAATCAGCCATCGTCCCTTCACTCTTCTCTTTCATTTCAAAATCCAAAGCCCAAATTTGCACAATGTGATCAACCCTCTGCAGAAATACAGCACAGATTTGCAATACTCATTTCTCTGTGGAGATTTTCGGGGTAACCTCATCTTAACCAAAAAGCTGACATGGTTAACTTGCAGATGGATATGTCAACCCATCACTGCTGGGCAGGAAAGTGGCATTTCTATAGATTTTATTTACTGCCAACGATTGGTTTCTGATTTGAAATAAGCCCCATGAGAAACCATTAGGGGAGCAGCCGTGACCCATTGCAGGGTAGTTATGCTCTTCAGGGAAAGCATCTGTGTATCTGCAGCAGCAGAATGATAAACGTTCTCGGTAGACAATACGGTATATGTTCTAGTTACATGTTTGCTGGCAATGAAGACCTGCTCTGAGCGTCCTGAGCAGGTATCACCCAGGGGAGCACGCAGTGCCTGGAGGCTGGCAGTGACTTCTTGAAGTTGGAATGTGACCCTCCGGGAACAAAGAGTAGAGCAACAGGCAAAGCACATACAAATATTCTGCCTCCTGGGGCTCCCACATTGCGCCCCTTGGCCCTGCTGCCTCCAGGGCCATCCTTGGCTGTGGTATCCCCACTGTCTTGACCCCTCACTCACACAGGGCTGACCACCAGGCTCTGACCTGTCCTGGCCTCCTCCGAGCTTCCTGGGTAGAGGGGGTCAGGCTCTCACTGAAACTGGAACCTCAAATTGGAACCCAGTGGTTCCAAACAGATACTGTATGAAAATAAAAAAAAACCATCATGGGCTGTTGTACTAAAAAGTATCTATGTCTGGAGATTCGGGGACTAGGACACCCTGTGGTTCTGAAAATGCTACCCACATAGCTGGAAGTGTGAGAAAAGCTTTGAAAGCCTTAGTGTCTATTTGCTGCAAAGTCAAAATTCCTTGTCTTCTTGAGAGGCCGAGGCTGGTACTGGAGGAGGCACATAACACTGTTGGAACACTGGAGAGACACTGCTTTTGCTAAGGCCTAAAAGACGGAAGTATAACCATGTTGCTCCGAGTTTAAGGAAATCATTTCACCGATAGTCACAAACTAGAGCTAGGATGTAGAGCTGGGTCTAAGGTACAAACTCCTACCATGTTGCATTGCACAAGGACTAAACATTACATTTGTATAAGGTAGGAAATGATGCATATATTTAAGTCAACAGGTAATGACCTCACAGCACCTGGTAATGCCTGTGTAATGCTTCTATGCAACACTGTTCAAAGCAAAGTCCATTTATGGTGCTAAATAATTGACAAATGTTGCTTTCAAATTTAGAAAACATAATAGTATGTATTCAAAGTTCAAATGTCAAATAACTAGCTAAATTCAACTTTTCATTCTCAATGAATTTTTATTTTCCACTCATTGAGAGAGTAGGGCACTCTTATGTAAGAAGTCAGGAAAAAATTAGGAATTCCTGTAAATTATACAATTAATAGAAGTAATGGAAATGTGGTCTCATGTCCAACAATGAGATATTTTGGAGGTAAGGATACAAATTCAAATCAGTTAAAGAAATAAGCTGGAAACACAGGAATTAGAAGTTGACCATATTTTCATATTTTCTGTTTAATTTTTTCCTTGCATAAATACCACTAATAAAGTTCTGGACAGAGGCTATTAATCCAACTAAAAACCCACAATCAATACAGTTAAAAAGGCTGTTCCTATTGGCTGTTGGAGAGCATATTGCTGCCACATATTTGTACTTAATTATTTACTTGTCAATAAACTCAAACATTCAAACAGAGCCTTTGCTAGAAAGATTTAGACTTTTGCTAATAGACAAAATTAGAAGGGAGAAAGCTGAAATAATGATATGCTGAATTTTCAAAATTAAAAATATCTGATCATATTTACAACCCAGCTCAAAGTTTAAAAGGAAATCATTTTTGAATGGCTGTTTGGCCAAAATACAGGACAACATGAGTCTTACCCAGGTAACTCAGTCTCAGTATACCCGTTCAAATAACCTCGTCATTTACCTTCAAAATCTTTGTCTGATTCTGCAAGTCCATGATTCAATTCTTGAATGCTCTTCCCACGAAAGAGTCCGTAGCTGATAATAACACTACCGTTGGAAGAAGGGTCATTAATGGCAATCGTACTTCTGATCCATTCTTGAGTCGCAAGAACAGAGCAAATGACGATGAAAGCCCCAAAGCTTGTGAGAAAGCCCGATGAGAACATCAGTATTTTCTGTCTCGTAGGCATTTTCTTGGGAAAGTAAGGGCCCAAAGGTAAAAAAAACAAAGATTTTTTTTTATAATAGCTTTGGACCTTATCATTTGGAGCCCAATATTTAGAAATGGAGTATAATAATTTCTTGTAAAATATAAAACCTCACTCTTTGTAAGAAGGGTTATACTCATGAACATTGGACTGTGAACATGGCCATAAAGATTTACAGTTGCTGAACTTTGGTCTGGAGTAAGGGGTTGCTATGGTTACAGCCAACCAGCAGGAACAAGGGGTGGTCACGTCTTCGCAGAGACTGCCTGAATGACATGATTAATTTATAACTGTATAGGCAAGCTCAGCCTGCCGTGTCAGGAGAATACCTACTGTTTGGAAATTATTGATATTTTCTTTGTAGTCCATTCATAATCCATTATTGTAAATGTTTGTAGCATTTTACGTCACTTGATGGCAATCCATTTTATGGTTTACCATTATTCATTTTTAAATGTTCTATTTTGGACATTTTGGATATTATACATTTTTTCTGGTCACATAAACTTGCTTGAATACAGATTGTTAATTATAGCCTTGGGATAAATTCTTAAAGAACAACTGCTGGTTCAGATATATTTTTAGATTTTTGATAACCAATGCAAATTGGCCTTCAAATTGGCCTCCAATTCATAATCTTACTAGCAATAGATGAAAAAGCTTTCTTTTTGGTAAATACTGGAAAACGCTAGCTTAAATAAAAAGTTTTTAAATTGTGGCCATTTTTATAGGTAAAATAAAATGCTATATGAACTACCTTCTTGTCACTGTAGTTTTGCTTTTTCTAGAATTTCATAGAAATGGTATATTACAGTATACAGTGTTCTGTATACTGTTTCCTGTTTCAAGTTTCATCTGAGTATTCCAAAATTTGTTAATCTCTTCAGATTAACATCTGGGTGGACTGGACATTTGGTTAGATTCAGGTTATTGACTATTATGAATAAAGCTATTCTGGACATTTAAGTGTATAAGTCTTTGTTTTGATACATGCTTTCCTTTCTCTTAGGTAAACACATAGGAGAGAAATTGCTGGGACATACGGTAAATGTACTTGACTTTAGAAGAAAATGACAGTGTTTCCAAAGTGGCTACACTAATGTGCATTCCCACAGGCAATGTATGGTAGTTCCAGTTCCTCCATATTCTCTCCAGTACTTCCTATTATTAGTCCCTTAAAATTTGACATTATAGTGAATGCTTTGTAGTATCTCACTATGGTTTTGATTTGCATTTTGCTAATATTAATTATGTTGAACATATTTTTATGTGCTTATTTCCCATCAATATACTTTCTTTGGCCAAGTATCTATTTAAATCTTTGCCTGTTTCTTAAATTAGTTTGTCCTCTTTCTGTTGCATTGTAAGAATTCTTTATATTGTATGTTCTGCATGTAAGTCCTTTATTAGATAGATGCTATCCAAATATTTTCTCCCAGTCTCTGGCTTATCTTTTTATTTTCTTAACAGTATCTTTTGAAGAGAAAATGTAAACAATTTTGGTGAAGTCTAATTTACCAATCTTTTTGAATTATGAATTATTCTATTTGAATTTTGAATAATTATCAACCTTATGAATTATGATGCAAATGCATCTTTAAGCAATCTTTGCCTAAGCCAAGATCTCAAAGATTTTTTCCCCTTTGTTTTCTTCTAGAAGTTTTGTAATTTTAATTCTTACATTTATGATTCTTGCCTATTTTGAGTTATTTTTTGTATATAGTATGAAGAAAGCATCAAGGCTCTTCCTTATACATGTGGATAAGAGATTGTTCAAGTTTGGTGATCATTCTCCTAATTAACTGCCTTGGTATCTTTGTCAAAAATCAGATGACTACATGTGTGTGGGTCTCTTTCTGGATTCTCTGTCACAAGGTCTTTCTTCTCAGCCCTGTGTAAGCACCAGGAATGGTTTGTCACACTGCTTCCCAGTGGCTCTTTTCCTGACCCCAGCTAGCTTCCTTTTGTATGCGTGGACCACACTCAACCAAAGAGGGTTTGAGGGTCCCTCTGCAGGTCTCTGGAACTTTCCTGTGCAGTGCATTCCCTCCAGTACTCTGTTCTACCACTTCTAGCCACTTTCACCTCCCCAATTTCTGGCTTCCCTCTCTTCTACTCCAGAAGACCCTGGGCTCTTCATGGTTTCCCCTCTCTCCTTGGAACCTACCTGGGACAGTAACAGGTTACCTCATTTGTTTCTTTTGTTTTAGGAATCACAGCCCTGTGCCACCTATTGTCCAGTGTCTAGAGACCATTCCTGTATATATTGTTTGCTGTTCTACTAATTTTGTTTTAAGACTGGAAGACCACTCTGGTCCTGTTACTCCATCATGATCGGAGGAGTCAGCCTTTATTCCTGAATGACAATGCATCAGCCACATTTTCTCCCCCTCAGAATTTTGTTCATATTGCTCTATTGCCCTTTGATTGTATGCTGCTGTGGAAGAGACTGACACGAGTATTATTTCTTCTCTTTGATGTGACTCACTTATTCCAGTAGCATAATTACAAAAGTCTTTGTTCATGAAATATAGTCACTTAACCAGATACATTGTATATAGATTGTTCTGTATCATTATTTTTTCCCATTGGGTTTTCTTTTCCATCTGCACATTCAGTTGGTTGATAAATTTTTCTGTATCTTATTTCTGAATTGTGAGCTCCATTTGCTGGTATCTTACCTGCAGGCACACCAGTTATTCTTGTGTTGTATCATCTTTGCCCTCCAGATCCACCATGTCTCATTCATTGCTTTAATGTCTTCACCTTTCCCCTACACACTCACTGTTATGTTTCTCCAAAATGATAATTTGCCTTTTAGCCCAGTCTTTTTCTAATCTATGTACTAAATCTGAAATCGTGTGGTTTGGAGTTCTAATTTGTGTCCTTCATGCTGAAATTTCCTTTTCATCTTATCTCTATTGTTTTATTATCTCATTATTAATTCCTTATTTTATTAAATTCATATTATAAATTCTTACATAGCACAGTACATGCAGGGGCAACTGCTCCTGTTCATTGGCTGAGTGTTTTCCCAGCGTAAAGAGGGTTCACTCTTTCTTTCCTTCTGCTGTATTTCTACAGTTTCTTTGATATCTCTTTTTATAAGGCTTATGCTTAACCTGGGCGGTTCTGTCCAGCCACTGGCTTGTTCCAATACGCTGTGAGTGATTCCCCTTGATATTCTTCTGACTTTAGCTGTGTCTCCTTTGTCTTATTCTCTCCAAGCTTCAATTTTTGGCTGGATGGCTTCCTATCATTTCTTCCCCCTGAATGCAGCATCCAGGAGGGAAAGAATGTATGGAGGTTTGACAAACACTGAAGACACATTGCTTAAGCTCACATAACTTTGGGGTAAGGGAAACTTCATGCATAATCTAATGCAGGGTCTCAAATGAGGTCACCTCATCTTGCTCTCGTTCCATTTGCTGATTGTGGGTCTTATGGCTCTGCTCCTCAGTTCATGGATTTTCATCCTCGTCCAGAAATTTGATCCTCTTGACTTCAACTTATTGCAAAAGAAAAAAATCACATGCCTACACTCCAGAAATCTCTAGGCATTTTGTTAACTCTAATGCTGTCACACACCCACAGACCTAGATAGAGTTCAGGAAGATCTTATTATTGGAATTGCTTGTGATTCATTTTGAGTTTAGGATTGCAGAATCTCTGATCAAGCTTCAAGTTAAGAACCTTTTCCAACTAGGCTTGGGAGTCCCCAGGGCATGACATGGAGACGGTCTTGCCTCTTTTAGGAGTGAAAGGAGGCCTGGGATTCCTCCAGGAAGAGGGGCTGCAGAAAGGATGAGCTAGGGCAGATGAAGCCCGGGAATGGGGACCAAAGGAAAGTGGTGTCAGAGCCTGTGGTGAAGAGGGCCCTGCAAATAAAACAGTCTGGGATATGAGGCCTTCGTAAGCACAGCACAGCAAAGCTCAGCCTGGGATGAAGGTCACAGCAGCAGCTGGGAGGCTCTGATTCAGGCATTTCAGTTCCACTCTTGCAATTTTTGACATAAGTGATCACCATTTCCATTTCCTTAATGATTTTTCCTAAATAATTTTTTCTGAATTAATTGACTGTGATGCTATCTATATTAAGTTAGTTATAATTAAATCTCAAATGATACACCAATAGTATTTTTATAATACATGAAAATATGTAATTCATCTATGAAATAAAAAATGTCCATCTTTGTGCTCTCACTAACTGCTATCCTCTCTGACCTTCTTCACATACGCACTGCTCATGAAATCTTACTTTGGAAAGTGCTAGTCTAGATGATACGAAGAAACACCCTCCTCATTGCTTGAATGCACTGCGACAAGCTGTTACCTTTTTCTCTTTTTCACGGTAATTTGAGACTTCTGATTTCTTCTTTATTTTTTGTCATGAAGGTTATTAAATGTCAGCAGCTTTTCTAAAAAGATCACAAATATACTTGTTACAGCAGATAGTGCTCTGGAGTATATGACAGGGTTTATTTTACTCTTTTTAATTAATTTGTGTACATTTATACCTTTGTCATAAAATGTATGTGGTTTATATGTACTTTGGGATCATTTTAATAGACTGCCTTGATAGGATCATAATTTTCTATTAATGCACTGTTTTTTTAGTACATAAAAGCCTTTCTTAATATTGCAGTGCTCAGGATATCTAACATTTAAAAACTAAATTTTTATTTTGCTTTAATATCTGATAAGAAAAGCTACCTGATAAGAATATGCTATTCACTCAGAGAGCTTCCTTAGTGTATCAGAGCTGGGTTATGTCCTATTAACAACTCTCTCCTCCATCCGTAGTGCAAACAGAAAAATATACAAGGCAAAAACCATGTGAAAATAAACCATTCCACAAGTGATAATGTTCTGTAGATTACATACACTGATTTCATGGTGAGAAACAAATAAATTAGGTGATTTCATTCTGCCAGAAATCTGTTGAAGCTCCTATAGTTTTTCAAAGAATTTGGGGAGAAAATAGACTTTTGCCAAAGTGTAAACGTTTCTGAGAGACTGTGATTTTTGAGTGAGGGATAGGAGGGCTTCTGTGCATTATGAAAGCACTCCACGCAGATCATTGACTGTTTTATTATTTGGCCTTTCAACATACAACTCTAATTTCTACATATCAGTTTACTGAAGGGACCAA